ATCAATGAATCACTTGGTATCCATATACTTTATCTTACTCAAAATACAATGATACTCTTACAATTCAAAATATCGAGATGTTAAAATATTGATATAATGCACCCTTTCAACTACACAGGTTCTACTGAATCACACGTGTAATTTAAGGAGTCTTTTGAACGCATTTCTGAATTCTCTGCTTCTGGCTGAGTATATTATAGGATTCAAAAACGAGCTGGAAAACATAAGAAGGATGAACCAAATTCCATATTTCTTGTGAAAAGAGCATCCCGTAGCATCTTCTCGGACGAACACGTGCACAAAGGACAAAACAAGATGAGGCGTGAAGGTTAGAACAAAAACTCCAGCGATTAGAACGAACGTTAAGGCTGCCTTCTCGAACTTCATGGCTCTGATTCGAATCCTTTCTTGGTGACTTGGACCATGGGTTGAGCCTGCTAACATGCGGCTTTGCTCTCTTGCAATGGCGACAATCTGGACATAGCAGAATACGATCACAGATAAAGGAACTATTGCTGTGATTGCAGAACTAAGGATTCCAAACAGTTTCAAGTCACGTCGATCGGAAAGAATTACTTGGGGAATTCCCATAGCGATCGAGAAAAGCCAAACGCAAGAGATCACCATACCACATTTCTTGTCGCTCATGATCAAATGATATCTTAGAGGCCATTTTATAGCTATATATCTATCGATACTCACTGAACACAGGCTGATTGTCGAAGCCACGAGTGTCTGGCATGTCAGGAAGTCGGATATCTTGAAGAGAAAGAAGGGAAGCCTTGTACTGGTCATGAATAGAGCCATAAATGTGGCGTAAAGTGGATTCATGATGGCGCCCACCAAAAAGTCGGCAAATCCAAGGGAACACAGGAAAAAGTTGGAGACATTACGCAGCCTCTGAGACTTGTAAACCGCCAACAAGACTAAAGAGTTGCCAGTGATAGCAAGGACACTTGACAGCACATGAAGAAAGATGAAGACGATGCTTGCCACTCGAGAAAACTGACAGCTCTTACCRAGTAGACTTGACGTTGCGTTGGTAGAGTTTGTGTCCATGCTGAAGATACGACGCAACTGGCAATACAAACCAGCTGTTGCCTTTATTAAGGGCATCATTACAAACAGCATGACTTGAACAACATTTAATAAAGATCACTAATGAACCTACGTCAAACCCCTGGGATTACTTCATTCAATATCAATATGGGCTCAATTCGGTTAATTGTAATGAAGGCCTTTATTGTATCAAACGTTTCAATAACCGCTTGTTACTGCATGAAACTTTAGATTAATGACTTCTAAAAAAACAAATTTTCGATGAATACTTCGCGTGAGGTTATTTGCTGCATCCCGTGCAGTTGTGACGTAACATGAAACGCCCACGATGTGAGAGCTATGGTACAGCGGTAATGATAGAGCATGCGTGCTTATGTAATCGTTTAAAGGTTTACCATGTGCCCCTGGAAACCTAATATTAGCCTTGTGTCTTCATGACAATTAAACATTGACTGAATGAATCTGTATTTTATAGATTTGCCATCAAAAGGTGTCGTTTCTGTGGAATGGGAAGATTTTCGTTATAATATATAGATGGAGATGCCCTTCACAGAAACATGGTAAGAAGGTACAAGAGATTCATATATTCATATTCTGATTGATCATACAACAAGCAATTTATATTTTTCGATTCTTTGTTGCTTTTGTTGTTGTTGCTGCTGTTGTTGCTGTTGCTGCTGTTGTTACTGTTGCTGCTGTTGTTGTTGTGGTCGATCATACCAAAAAGTAAAAACACTACCAACGATTTCAATAGCACACAAATACATTCGCTTAAAGGCAGTCCTAAAGTCCCTACTCCTTAGCTAGCCTGCGTCACATCCGGAATTTTCTTCGTAAATACCGTCTGCGAAACATCGCCAGAAAGCTTGTTCTGGACCCCCCGAAAATTGCGCGATTATATATAATAGATTCTGATTGGCTGTTAGCCATTGCTCATTCTAACGTGAACTCCCATTGGATAACATTATCAAATAGGATGTGATCCTCACCGGATGTTTAGTGTAAAATCGTAACACGAGCGAGTGCGGTGTGTTTTCCTTGATAATCTTCAAGTAGAATGACCTTTCCCCTTCCCAAAATATCACCAAAAGTTTACTATTTGTGCCATCGATTCATCGCAAAAGATTATGAAGTTTTTCTTTTAAATGAAAAACAAAAATTCAACCCTATTTTAGAAGTGCAAACACTATAATTTGAAGTACGACGAGTTCACACGTGTGCCGTCAGTGCATTGACAAGCTCATTGAAAGCTTCTTCGACGTCGGTATCATTTCCGATAGCTACAGCCGGTATTCCTATATTACCTAGGGAAGAAACTTGTCTTCCATTAAAGATTTTAATGCAGATATAACTACTAATATAACTAATATTTTCTATTTCAAACTGATACTTTACTTCTAAAAACGCTCTAGTCCAAAGATACTCATCAAAAGAAAATATCATTTTGAAAACTAGGACGCTTTGCTCCTTCACATCCGGTTTCATAGTGTTATCCAATGAAAGTTCACGTTAGAATGAGCAATGGCTAACAGCCAATCAGAATCTATTATATATAATCGCGCAATTTGCGGGAGGTCCAGAACAAGCTTTCTGGCGATGTTTCGCAGACGGTATTTACGAAGAAAATTCCGGATGTGACGCAGGCTACTCCTTAGCCCGTATATAACCGGATTAGCAGACGAACTAAGATACATAACAAATTATGACATCGTCCAAAGACGAAACACGAACCGTTTCTCCTCACAGTCTCATTTGGCATACTTTATATACCAAACAGCCATCACCAAATTCGGTGTGAATGCGATCATAAATATTACTGTTACGACAGCAAACGTGGTTACTGCTTTTCTGTTCTTGCTATTTGTTTGTTAAGTTGTTGCCTTGAGATCTATAATATCTCGAGGTAGCAGGCGATGATTACAAACAGTGGAATAAGCACAGGTAGCCCAAGCTTGGTTTCTGTGGTGTCCTGTTATAAGGAAATGTATGGRGAATCATCAAAAATTTCAATAAAATCATCAAAACGTAAAATAAAGCCTCGAAATTTTACCCTATCATTGAGAAATAGCACTTTTTTCGCTCTGCGTGGTTATTTTTTGAATTTAGCCCGTTTTTTGAGGATTTTTTCCCCCACCAGTAAGAAATAAGAGAAGGTTGGAAACTCGGGATCCAAAAGCGAGCCATCACGAG